ATTTTACTGTTAGCTTGCAGGAATACCTCCAAATTGACTGTGAAAACCTTAAGATATACAAAACCTGCCATTTCCGCCGTAGCTTGACTTAGTGGTTTGTGACTGGGGCACCCTCGGGAAATACGGCATATGAATAACTCCTCGCAATTAAAACACACACTGCTTTTCTCATTTGAATATGGCACTTGCCTGTTGCGACCGGTTCTTGCTATGCTTCTTGTCTGCAGAAGGGTCCGTGAGTAACTGTCAGGTTTCCTCTCTGAGCGGATGTGTATGCTGATGCTGTGGCTGTTCCCCCGAGCGCTCCTATCACTGCTGAGCGTTTTCACTGGGCCGTGTCATGTTTCCCACTAGCACAGGCGGCCCGAGCCCTGCGGTGCTGCTCGGCGCTGGGCTGCCGTGAGCACCCGGGGGGCTGCCATCACCCCAGGTTGAGCAGCTGAGGGGAGTGCAAAGGTGCGTCGGGGCTGCTGGCCACGGAATGCTGCAGAAGCAGAGCGTGTGCCACGCTTTGGCCTGGTGCTTGGCGTTGCGCCAGAGCGATAGCAGGCGTCAGTCTGTCCTGGGCCTTTTTGACCCTTCGTGCCTGACTCTCATGCTGCTCTGTCCCACGGAGGAGGAACTCAGTGCGTTCCCCAGTAAGTTCACAGAGCCCTTGCTCAGCTGGACTCTGCTGGGGTTGCTTGTTTAGCTCTGCTCAGAGCTTATGAATGATGTGAACAGAAGGAGCTGAGAGCTCTCGCTGGCAGCTGTGCTCCAGCTATGTGACCGCCCTGTGTGGGGAGGGAGTTAAGCTGTGCTGCTTAGGTCGGAGCTCCTTGCAGGAGGCTCTATCAAGGGAAGAATAGCTTGTATTTCTGATTCTGCATAGGTGCAAGTCGTCAAACACAAAGCGAAGGGCTTGGCTATCAGAATTATTTTGGTGTAAGGTTAGCGTGAAGAGGCTGATTTCTGTGGCTGAAGATAATCAGGGAGATCTGGCTGGCTGCTGTGGCAGTTTTCTCATCTGTCATATTTTGCATTTCTCTCTCCATATACCAAGAGCAATTATTTTCAGTTTCCTTGTCCTTCGCTGTTCCACATACCACCAAAAACTTGCTGTGGCAGAGTGAGTTGCCTTCTAGTGGCAAGGAATCCTCTGTATTTGTTTCCAGGAAACATTACAGACGTTACTGCAGGATTTATTCCGGTGAAGTCAGTGCCAGCTTGGCCTGCTTGGAGAAGGAAAGTATAAGGAATTGGCTGGGACAGTTAGTCAGGTTTTGCATTTCTCTTACCTGCTGATTCCAGGAAGCTAGCTGTAGAAGCAAGTGGGAAGGATTGTATCGCTGCCTACTGCAGACGCAGTTCTTGGCACTTAACAAAACCTCTCTTGTTTGTTTTTCCCTTGATCCACATGCTGGAGCATTTCCTGACTCGCAGACCAGGCTGTCAAAACGTCTGAGAAGTATTTTTCTGCAGATTTCGTTCCTTCTGCTGCATCGTTCCCCTACTGCTTCAGTGGATTGTGATTCAGTTTTTGTGTCTGAAGCCAGCCCAGGTGGTGGGGACATCTACCTCGTAAACGTGGGATGTCTTCTTTAGCTGTGAGAGGGGGCTGGAAGTTTGGGGCTGGTGACTAGTGATGTCAGGAAGCTTAATACATTCTTTTGGTGGGATATTTGGTTCAAGCTTCACTTCTTTCACAGTGATGAGCAACACTTGTATGTTTGGGCATGGGTGTGGGTTAAAGCACTGGTGGCCTGGAGACGACTAAGAATGACCTTGATATTCAGTCTGTAAGTCAAAAAAGGCCTTCTCTGTCCACGTGCTCTAAAACTGCCAGCTGCCTGGTGGATTTGCATGGAAACGTGTATTATTTCATACTCAGCAGTTCCATTTAGCTGTCACTGCTTCACACAGAGTGAGCTGACGGATGTACTGGTTTGGATATACTGGGTAGGCTTGGAAGGAACCTGGATTACAGGGTTAAGCAGACCCTTGGTAACAGCTAATGAGCCTTTTCGCTGTCGTTATTTCTGTGTGCTGTTGTATAAAACCTGTCTGCAGCCTTCTGGAAAAGCCTCTGAGTATAACCGTTTGTGTCTTCCTCCCTCCCCTCTCTTTGAACCCTAGACTCCGGGCTGGTCGTTCCAAGCGTGTCTTACGAGCTTCACAAGAAGCTGCTCTCCGTTGCAGAGAAGCACGGGCTGACTCTGGAGCGGAGGCTGGAGATGACGGGCGTGTGTGCGAGTCAGATGGCCCTCAGCCTCCTTGGGGGACCCAACAGGTAAAGCTCTTCCCTTTACTCTGGGTTTGCCCCCTCTAAGCAGGGCTCGGCTTACCTGACCCACTACGTGGGGGTGAGGTAGAGGCAGCCTGGATGCCTGCTGCTGCTTGTGTTAGTCCCTCAGGGGTGCTGTCGCTGCTCTGCCTGCCTTGCCTCTGGAGGAAACACTCATCCCAGTGCCGTGCAGACCTGTGCTGTAGCTCATCTATCAGCCAGTTTCCAATTAATCATGAAAGGCTCAGGCTCCTGAAGCGGGGGAAGCCTTACAGTAGGCTTCCATGTTTGGGCTGCGTTTTTATTTTTTGTCTTCTCTAGAAACGGGGTGGCTGAACACACCATCTTGGATGAATGACTTACTAAGGGCTTCTTTTTGGCTCCTGTGGCCCAGAAGCAGAAGTGTCTCTTGAGTCAAAGATGAAACAGACAGAGCTGAGGTTTTTCTCTCCACTTACAGGGGATTTTTTCAGGGAATAGTGCTTTGCACAGGTGTAACCCAAGGCAGATTAAACCATTGCAGAATTTCTGGCAAGCTACTCCTTTACTCAAATAAGTAAACCTTTCCTTTGGGTTTTTTTACATGTTACAGTTTAGTGGCATCAGTAAAAGCAAAAATCAGCTCATGAAAACAAAGTGCTGCCTAGCTTTTCCCGATGCTAAATTAGCTTTCAGGCATCTGCACCCAAACTGAGAATGTCCTGCTCTTTTGGAGGGCCCAGGCTGATGGCAGGTTTGGAGCGCACTTGCTGCTCCCCGCATAGATGTACGTGCTGGCTCTTTTGAAGAGGTTCACTCTGTGCCTGCACTCGCCGTAGTTGTTGCTGTGGGCAAGCGATCACATGGTCTTTTAGACTGTTGATAGATGCTCCAAATGATTTGCCCTTGAAACGGAAGGTAAGCTGAAGTCTCCATCTGTTCGCCTGGCAGTACTTTACCAGGAGCTGACCACTTGCTTGGGAGCAGTAAGGGGTGACATACCAGGCAGCACCGACCCTATCAGCTGCAAATCCTCCTGTAAGCCACCCTTGGTGGCTTGCAGGCCAATTAAATAAATCAGCTTTATTTTGCAGTTGATGAGGCTTAGGGAGTAGAAGTTATTTTTCTTCTTTTTTACCGGTGGTTCTGCCAATAAGGTAACTCACTCCATACTTAGATTACCTATAGAATCTTATTTCTTTTAAAGAGGGGTAGAGGAAAAGAAATTCTGCTAAAAAGGGAGAAAATAAAATGAAGTCCAGCCAGCACTGGATTCATGCTGGCTATGGAAGCAGCGATAACACCCCCTGCTTTGAAAGTATGGGTTGGCTTTGTGATGAAGCAGGATAGGCTGGGACCTTGTGCTCTGCGCTGGGTGCAAGGAAGTCTTGAAGGGAACCTGCCAGCAGAGCAGCTCTCCAGTGTCAGCGCTACAAAAGGATGTGGGTTCCTTCTCGAGGCAACGGAAGATTTGCAAAACACCTGTAAATTTGCATTTTACTGAGTTGTTTCTCTTGCAGGAAGAAGGCAAGAGATGCTTAGGTTTATAAAGCCCCCTTTTTCTCTCTGTTGTAGGCTGAACCCGAAGAACGTGCATCAGCGGCCCACGGTCGCCCTGCTATGTGGCCCCCACGTGAAGGGGGCCCAGGGGGTCAGCTGCGGACGACACCTCTCCAACCACGACGTCCACGTCATCCTTTTCCTGCCTAACTTTGTGAAGATGCTGGAATCCCTCACCAACGAGCTGAACCTTTTCAGCAAGACGCAAGGCCAGCAGGTGTCCAGCGTCAGAGGTGAGTGAGCCAGGAGCAGCTCTGCTCCGCACCGCCCTCACCGAGCCCGGTGCCGCTCAGCTGCCCGGTGCCTGCCCGCTCCGGTGGCACCACCTAGTGGCGCTGCCATCGGTGGGTGGCTGGTCGGGGGCTGGCGGAGGCTCAGGGGCTCGACAGAGGAGCGGTTGTGCTGGTACAGATGTTTCCTCTGTGAACAAATACGGAAGAGTCGCTGTATGGATCTGAGTCAGACCAGCCCTGCTCTTAGGATAAGGGCCTGCCTTGTTCAGCCTATTGAAACTGCAACTAAATGAGCATCCAGCTGCTCCAAACCCAGCAGTCGGCTTTGCTGAACGAGTCCCGGCGGCTGTCAGCATTCAGAGCTCTTGGTATGCCCCAGAATAAACTGATGCTTTGTCTCCTGTGAGAGAGCTGGCATCTGTTTGTCACTTCCCCAGCGGTATTTTCAAACCTGTTTCATTCAGACTTCTCGGGAAAAACAAACGTGGGGCTTTGGGCTCTGCACAATGTTTTGTGTTGTAGCAGGGCAGGGGGGCTGTGTTGTGCTGGCTGAGCTACTTGACTGTTAGAAGAAAGATTGCACGAAGGACTTGTGATCCGTCAGGTACAGGGAATGCAGGGGCTGTGGTACAGAGCAGGTGAGTGCAGTGAGACCGAGGCAGCTCAGTGGGGCAGGCAGCAGTGCAGCACTCAAGCAGCCTTTCAGTAGCAGAGCTAGTTGGCGTGTTCCAGGAAAATAGGCCTTTTTTTTAAGCTTTAATAATGGTCCTTTTATAATGGTGAGAGAACACCACTGCTTCCCTGGGCTGCCTGGACTGGTGAGTCAGTGCAGGGGCTGCATCTGGGGCTGCTGAAGTGCTGACCATTTGATGAGATTTTGTACCTGAGGGTCTGTGAATGTTCTCCAGAGCGCCAAAGCATTCTTCCATATCAGCCTTTGTGTCTTTTGCAGAAGGATGGCAGTAACAGCAGGTAAGGCCAGACTGGATGCAGTGAGACTGTGGGTGCTAGAGGGAAAACTGAAAAATCTGCTGGCAGTGTGAGGAGGGAAGGCACCGAGCCTAAGTTTGTGGTTTCAGGCTGGCCCTCAGCACTCAACAGTGTTTGTGTTTCTTCCAGATCTCCCAGATACCCCCGTTGACCTAGTGATCAACTGCCTGGATTGTCATGAAAATGCCTTTTTGAGAGATCAGCCTTGGTACAAAGCAGTCGTGGACTGGGCCAACCAGAACCGGGCCCCCGTCCTCAGCATAGACCCTCCAATAAACGAAATGGAGCAGGGCATTGATGCCAAGTGGTCGCTGGCCTTGGGCCTGCCCCTGCCCCTGGGCGAGAGGGCAGGGCGCGTGTACCTCTGTGACATTGGCATTCCCCAGAAGGTCTTTCAGGAGGTGGGAATAAACTACCACTCGCCCTTCGGCTGCAAATTTGTCATCCCCCTCCACTCCACTTAGAGCTCATCCAGCCACACGGCTCTGCAGGGAGAGAAGAGAAAAGGAGGAGGTCTGTCAAATAAGCTGTCCAGTGGATCCTGACTAGTAAACTCGTGACGCCTTAAGGATGTGAAGTTCTGGAGTTTTGTTTGCAGAAGAAACACTCTGTATTAAAAAAAAAAAAAGAGAAAATAATCAAAGTGAAACAAAAAAAGAAGGAAGTGAATGTTCCTGCAAAGCTGTTTTCATTCTCTAGTGCCATTGTATGAAGGAACACGCAGGAAGGTGGTGCCTGTCCCCAGCGGAGGCAGCTGCTCTTGTCCAGGCCCGGCCAGACGGCTGTTTAGTGAGGGGGTGTACATGGAGGTGCTACAAGTGACCGATGGTTTGGAGATGTTTCTCAGTCCCTGTGGGTGGATAGGCCCAGCAAGGGGCGTCCAGGTGGGAACAGCACCCCCTGATTGTGTAGAAATACCTTCTGTTGCAGTTGTACCAGGAGGGAGGATTTGGTTTCGTTCTGTTGTTCTTTTTGACTCCCCTCTCCCCCATTTTATATTCCTGAAGGCAGTTGTAGCTCACTCTCCCCCCTGGACCCTGCAGCCCCTCAAGAGGAGCGTTCCCTCTTCGGAAAGCTTGTGTCTGAGCCAGAAGTGCTCAGGTTGCACAGGCTCTGGGAGCACAGATGTCCTCAGCTAGGCCTTACTTGCTTATATGCTCTGTTGGCTTTTTGTTTGTCCGCTCGGTGGGTGAAGCCCAGGTTGATGGGAGCAAGGCGTGTAGTGGAAAAGTGCTTTTCCAGGGTAGTTGGGTTGGTTTTTTCTTCTTTCTGGCACAGTGAGTGGCTGAATCAGGGAAAAGATAGTGAAGCCAGCGCAGTGTCACACTGAGTTTTTGTGGTGTATGGTGCAGGTGATGTTCGGGTGGGTTTCCTCGGTGCTTCCAATATCCCTCCCACGCTCAGTGTGGTTTGGGAAGTAGGTCATGGATCCATTCATTCCCTTTGGGCTTGGTGCAGTGCCTAGAGTAGGGACAAGCTGAGAAGCCATCAGCCAGCTGGCTTCGGGAATCGGTCGCGCGGGCTCCCTGCGCGCTGCTGATGCCATGAGCGTGGGCAGTGCTTGAAGCTCTGCTGCTCTTCTGGTACCGTACCTGTCCCCAGAGCTCCTGCGCATACCTAAACCTCGCACAGACCCTGTTACGGCATCTGGGAGAGCTTCCGAGCTTCCAACGGTGCCTCTTCTCCAGGGGAGCTGGATCCCTTCCAGGGCAGAAGCGCAGGGGCGTGCGTAAGTGGTCATCTGCTGGGCAGCTGCCTGTGGCTCTGCTCTGTTAAGCCGGTGGAGTCCCACTTAGCAAACCTACTGATCCACTTGTGCTGAGTGGGGAGGATTTACAGGTCAGTCTTTCATCTGCTTAGAACAAAGGCCAAGTCTATCAGAGGAGGAGGGAAGAAACTTCCCGGGTTGAAAAGCAGCAGCTGAGTAATTAAGATTGCCTGGGAGCGTGGAAGACCCAGCCCAAAAGGATGGGAGGCTGGTGAGCGCAGGGCTTGCCCCCGCTGCTGCCTGAGGTCTCGTCCCCTGCCAAACCGCCTGCACCTCGCCGTATCTACCTCAGCAGGACGAAGGGCTCTGCCCCTCTCGGCGGCTGGCCCCCGGGTCCCCCTGAGCCTCTTTCCCCGCCGAGGGTTGGGTGACTGAACCGTGTCGGCTGGCTTGTGCGGAGGGCCTGGGTGGCTTCGCGGGGCCGGGGGGGCGGCTCTGCCCTCGGGCCGTTCTCCTGTGGGAAGGGCAAAGCCGAAGCAGCTATTCCTCAGGTGAACCGTGTTTCAGCCGAAACTGCGGCGACGTTTAACAGGCCACGCTGGGAAGGGGTAGCCACGTGGCCGGTCACTGAGAGGACAGATGCGAGGCTTCCCCCTGCCCTTCTTGTTTCTTTGGCTGTTCCAGCTCCATCTAATCTTCAGCCAGGCAGAGGAGCTGGCCTAAAAAGGTGGCCGGCCATCCCTTGGTCGTTGCCGTAGCACAGTGTTAGCTTTAGCCCCCTTATGCTCACTTTCCTTGCTCGAGGCAGTAAGCGAACATGCTGTTCCAGTTTCTGCTTTCCCTGAGCGGGGCCGCAGGCTGTTTGCGCCCGGCTGTTAAACTGTCGGTTGTGCGCACCGAGCAGGAGCGGCGTAGAGTGGTCAAGGCTTCGTCGCGGGCCCGTTTCCTGCCTCTCCGCTGCTGCGTGACGTGCCCAGGAGGACACTGAACCGGGTTGGGCTGTTTTTTTGCGAGGATGGCAGCCGGGATCTGGTCTGTGCTGGCTGCTGCATACCTCCGGGAAGCACGATGGCCCCTTGCAGCAATGAAGTTCCCTATGTTTAAGCAAAAAAACCCCGATAAATAAATAAAGCGAGCAGTGTTGCATAACAGGAGAGTACAGACCCTTATGTAAGGAAAGGGATTCCCAGTCCCTAGCTGTGCGGAGGATTTAGGGCGCAGCGGGCAGCTTTGGGCTGCGTTTGGCGCGGTTACGCTTCCCTGTGTTCGCTTTTTCTGGAGCCAAGAGCCGATGCAGGTGTCTGGCTGTACTTGCCCTCCGATGCAGAGGCTACTGGCCTCACCCACGTGAAATGCATCTTGTGTGCAGGTGTGAGCTCCTCTGGAGCACTTGAGACACCCGGAAAGGGATCTGGGTCCCTTCTTCTCCCCCTTCCCCCACATTGCCAGAGTTCATTGACAGAATGGAACACATTTTTATCTGTCTTTCTCCCCACAACCTTCCCCACTGCCATGGGAACTGCGGGTGAGTGCTGCTCTGGTCACTGCCACGTGACGATCACTGCGCTGTGTCACCGCTCGATACTCCCATTTGTGACCTGATGTTTGTAACGACTCGTTCCTGCCGCTGCTGGGGGATGTCCTGAAATAAAGTGCAACTATTCATGTGTGCTATTTGTGTGCAGCTATTTATTTGTGTGCTGTCATTCCAGAGCCTGACCCCGTAGCTGGAGTGAGAAAGGGAGAGCTCAGTCCGTTCCCCCTCCAGTGAAGCCAAGATTCATGCTGCTTCGGTTCCCGTTAATTTTTCAACATCATCTCCTTCCTTTGCAGAGAAAAGGGAGCAAGAGAACCCCAGACCTGCCTACAAGGGAAGTATCAAACAATAAGAAACACTTTATTTTAACTTTACAACATATAAATAGACAAATCTGTGCTTTCCAATGTAGCTTTTCTTCCCCTCCCCAGGGTCCTTGTCACAGTGCCCCAGCCCCGCTGAGCTCTAAGGGAGCGCGTGGGGCCGGACCCCCCGTATGTACAAGTGCAGCTGGCACCGTGCCCTCCCCGGCCGTCATCTGCTCAGGTCCCGGCTGGCACCTCGGCCGCACAGCATCCTTTCCTCTGCGGAGAGGCCAGCAAAGAAGGGATGCAGGAGGGCTTCCGAGAACGTGATGCGCCGGGAAGGGTCGAATTCTAACATCCTCCTCATCAGGTCGAAGAGCTGTGCGTGCTCCAGCGAGTCGTGCAGCATGTATGTCTGAAAGAGATGGGCGAGGGAGAGAGGCATGGGACTCGGGTAGGCTGAATCCTAGGCCCTCGTTCTGTGATACACTGCGAGGCAAGGGCTGTTTCCATCCTTAAGCATCCCTCCACATCCCTCGTGGGATTCCCTAGTCCTACTTCAGCCAGACCAATACACTTCTGTTAGTGCAGATGAGAGTCTGGGGCTCAGTCGGAGCCAGATACTACAGGGAACTCCCAGCCCTCTGCCCCAGAGAGCAGCACCTACCCGCAGGGGCTTGCAGTTCTCCTGGACATATCTCCCATCGGACGTGTTCTCATCCCACACCAGGTTCCCATTGTGGAAATATTTTTGCTTCCTGGAGAGGAGAAGTGGGGTTCAGTGAGGCTACTGGTGGGACAGACCCCCAGCACGTGTCCCATGGTTACGCCACGGGAACTGTACCCTGCCGAAACAGTTGGCCAGCCCATCTGCGTTCAGGAAGAGGTTCTCACCGAGTTTTGTGGACCATGTGAGATGGAATGGGCCCGAGGATTTTTTCCATCATGACAAGATGCTCGCGGTTCTCATGGGTCTGTAAGGAGAGGAGCAAGGTGCATTACTGGGAGATGGGACAGCAAAAGCTTTGTGCCCCGCACAAGCACAGGGGAAGAAGAGACAAGCCTCTATTGGGAATGCTGTGGCTCCTGTCCATCTGCTTCCTCTCTTGATTTTTCCGTTCTTCACAGGGACACCCGAAGTGATCTGAACCTTGTCCTTCGAGCAAGGCAGGAGTCCTCAAACCGTGAGGTTTTCTGAGCTTATTTTCAAACTCAGCTTCTGCTTCCTAGCACTTGCCCTGCGTTTCCATTCCCTTCACATTAAAGATTCTTAGGGTACAAAAGAATCCTACCTGGAGGAGCGTGAAGCCACGGTAGTACTCAAAGAGAATGCAGCCAGTACTCCAGACGTCGCATGGCTGTGCCCAGCCCAGCTCTGCAAAGAACATGGAGTTAACTCTGTGCTCCCAACATCTCCCACCAGATCTCTACCAGCTCCTTCCTGAAGCTGCAGGGATTACACAAAAACAGGCCTAGAAGTTTATCTGTGGCACTTTCTGGTGCTGCACACTGGCAAGAGGACTGTCAAGTCCCCCCACCCCAAACCCTTGTTTCACCTTATGCTGACTCCACATTCCCTTGGAGCTAATTTGAGTGCTTCCTGAGTCTCCCGGGCTTTCCTCAGCTATCCGCACTCCACGCCAAGGGCCTGCACTATCCATGAATGCTTCCCGTACAATCCAGACCTCGGGACCACTGAGGTAGTGTTGCAGCAGCACACGGAACAGAGTGTCCCCAAGAACTGGAGTGCTCTCACGCTGGTTTTCCTCTAGGCAGCACCACTCTACGGCATCCCTGGGACAACTCTTCTCCTCCTCCCGACACGCCAGCGGTACTCACCCAGAATCACTTCGGGTGGACGGTAGTGCCGGGTGGCCACGATAGTGGTGTGGTGCTCGTGGTCGAAGGTGGCGCTTCCGAAGTCCGCCACGCGAATGCTCGTGTTCCGAATGGATTTCTCCTCACAGCTCTGCAAGCAAACAACAAGTCCTCAGAGCTGGTTCGGGATTGAGCCAGGCTTTGAGAGTTCTGACCCCGAACTGCCGTGGCTGCACTAATCAGAAGGATTATAACCCAAGCTCTGAGCTCTTTACATCTCAGCTCAGTGTTACAGAAAGCTGCTGGACTCTCCACTGCACGGCCTGTGGCCGCTGAAGCAGTCCGAAGGCTTTTGGAAGGCACGGGAGAAAGAAGAGGCCTGGCTTCCAGTTTGTTCCCACTAAACAGACTCTTAAGGCCCTGGAACAGGGAGGGAAAGGCAGGCTATTCCTGGTCTATTCACTTCTTTCGGACATAACCCACCTTCTTCTCATTGTACAGAGTGTCAAAGTCTGAGTTGACAAACAAGATGTTTTCTGGCTTGAGGTCAGTGTGAGTCAGCTGGTTGTCGTGTAGAACTGCAGAGGTGGCAGAGAGGAGAGAGAAACAAGCGTCCGTAAGAACCACGCAGTAAAGCACCCGTACGACTCTGCCCATCAGAGCACCACGTGGGGCCAAGCCAACTCCCCCTCGGCTCCCTCCCAGCCCGCTCCAGTGAGGCATCGTCGCCCCAGCAGGCCGGCCCCGGCTGACTTACATCTCAAGGCGTGGCAGAGCTGGTAGGCCATGTGCCGGATCTGAGGGAGAGGG